TTGAATTTCACATACTCTTTTTTAAACAATTTTTATGTCACACACTGATTATGTACTGAGTAGGCCTATTACACATGCTTAACTAAATAGAAAAACGCTCAGGTAATGCTGTGTCACTGCAAATCATTTTCCATCACTGATTATTTTACTCTGCCCCTATTGTGGAATATTTATGCAGCTGATTTTGAGAAGCAGCAGCACTTCGTGGTTGTTTTTTAAGTCAGTTTTGAGGCACTGAAAAGTATTAACACAAATGGCATTAATCACCATGGGGGGAGGTGGAACACACCTCTGCGAGCAGGAGTCCAGGGCAGCACTCCTGGAGTTTGTGATCCCCTTCGCTTCTTGAAGGGATCTGCAACCAGGAGACTGGTTTACGTGCTTCTCAGAATAAAGGAATCACACTATCCCGAGGGCAGTATTTAGATTTTTGTCTTATTTAAACTCAGGAATTCCTAACGTGATTCATTCCTAATAGTGCCAGATGTAAACAAAGTGTGCTTGTCTGGGAGAGCGAGCTCGGATGCGAAACGTCTTTTTCTGATGTAGGAGTACTTTTGATGTTTTTACTAATCGCATATAAGAAGTGTTCCTTTTCCTCCTTGTCTGATATTACTCATCAATGACTTTATATTCAGCTTTGTACATTTTCCTGTACTCGCCCAACTTGTCTGCTTGTTTGCTACTGCTTTGCTTGTTTACCGATGCTTTCTTCCATTAGAAACAACTTTTATTTAAAAAAAAAACACAAAAAACAAAAACAAACTCTTCTAAGTTTCTGATGCGTTGATGCTGTACAGATGGTGAAACCATTTTTACGTCTGTCTTGTTCACCTGTTAGGTTAGAAACATTTTAGACACTGGAACTGGAAGCTGTTGAGACACACAGGACTTTGGTTGCTGCAGCCCTTTCTCTCGTGACCTGACACACGTGTTCGTGCCAGGGGCTCACGCGTGCTCTGCACACAGGAGGGGTTTTTCTAACTGCAATGAATGGTCTGAGCTGCTGAGCGCTCCCCCCGCCCTCACCACCTTGGGAATATCTGTGGAAAATCTCTTTTCTGTCTGCTGCTCCGATTGAAGAGGCTGCTCGCACTAAGCTCTGGCCCTGTGCCAGCTTTCCTGCCAGGAAAGTGCTCCCAGCTTGTCCAGCAGCTCCGCTATCCTGGCCCAGACCGAGCGTGTCCGCGCTGGGGCTGTGCCCCAGTCGGGATCCAGCAGCTCCGCTATCCTGGTCCAGACCGAGCGTGTCCGCGCTGGGGCTGCGCCCTGGTCGGGATTGCTGCTGCTGCAGAAACGGGTCCCGGCTTGTGCCACGGGATCCGACGGCTGCCGGGTATTTCGGGGCTCTACCACACTCGGATTTTTGCATCTTTGTTGTTAAAATCAGGAGCGATGGTGAAACGGAGCAGCACGTGCTTCCGTACAGGTGAGCAGAGAACGCAGCGTTTCCGCTGCCCCTTCTGTGTTTGTGCAACAGCCCTTTGGTGGCAGAGCTGCTCTGGTCAGGTCTGTGCCACAAATAAAAATAACCAGAAAAGGAACAAGATTTTAACTGCAAAAGAGCCGTTGATGCTTGCAGCTGTGCAAACTGTGTTACAGCCCAAAATCAGCCATCTACACATCAAGTTACTCTTCAGAAAAAAACACACAAGCACAAGTCAAGGTAATGAGGTCTATTTTTAACCAAATTTTATTGTAAATTTCTTTTGAAGGACATTCTACTTTTTTTACAAATTATAAAATTTACAATTACAAAAGAAATCAGGATCATCATCATTAACTACAGCAAATCCAGTTTTGTGAAAAAATATATTCAAAAATTAAATATCAAAAGGAAGTTAAGTTCATTATTGAAAAAAAAAAACAACTTTCATAAATTATTTTGCAGAAATGCTCAAGACACTGACAAAGTATTTTAACACTTTTCCTAGTACTGGCTTCGGGTGCTTGGAAGGAAACCAGCAGCTCTGCTGATCCTGGGAGCGGGGTGGGGGGCACAGGCACCCACCGCTGCCCTTTGCTGGTTTTTGGGTGTTGTTGCTGTCGTGGATTTGCGGCTTCTTGTTGCCTTTTGGGCTATTTCAGCAGTTTAGAAATAGTTCTTACAACACAATTCTGCTTTTCTTCCCAAAATAATACAGGCTGGAGTAATATTGGTTTGTTTAGATCCTGCTGCTGCCTTTATTTTTCTACGATTTAAGCACAAAAAACGGAGTGGAGCTAAAAAGTGAAAGTACACACCTGTGCTGGCAGCGGCCCGCAGGGGCATCAGGTCTGAGCGCGCGGAAACCCAACACGCTCCGGGCTCTGTGGGTTTGGTACCAGTCACTGTGGGTTTGGTACCAGTCACTGTGGGTTTGGTACCAGTCACTGCGGGAGGAGGGAAAACTCACCCCCCCCTTTGCACTTCAGCGGGGCTCTGCCTGGGCACGGGGGGGCTCTGCCTGAGCAGTGGGGTTCTGCCAGGGCACAGGGGATGGTGCTAGGGCATGGGGGGGCTCTGCCCAGGCACGGGGGGGCTGTGCCTCAGGCTTCTGGACCAGCCCCAAGGACACTACCCTGGGGTCTGCACATCCCACCTCCCCAGGAGCTAAGCCCACCCTCAGACAGGCACAGCCTCAGCCCAGGGGTGAATTTTAATTTCTCCAGCGACACCCTGAGCAGCTCCGGGTGGTGCCCACCCCTCTGCCCCTGCTCTCCCCGAAAAGCACAGTCTGCTCCCTGTGCTTCTGCTGTTGCACCAACGCTGCTGAGCAAAGCTACACTCCCCTTTCTCAAGGTGCGCAGTTTAACTGGTTCCAGTGCAGCACAACTGCGTCTATCCTGAAAGTGTATTAGCCCTTCCTAAGTAGCCTCTGGAAAACACACGGAGCAAATCATTCGTATTAACAGCAGTGTTACTACTAATACAAACATAAAGGCGCTAGCGAGCTCACCAGACTGCAGTTAGGTCTCTCCTTTCTTACCAGAACTCTGTCCCACTCCTTTCCACCCCACAGCCAGGGCAGGATCACCACTTGCTCTTTCAGCTTTTCCTCAGTATTAGAGGGACAGTGACCTTACACACCAACGATTGTCTTGTCTCCCAAGGGTTTGTTTTATTCGACTCTCCAAAATTTTCATTCTTCATCTTACAGTAGCAGCTGCACACACGCAGACCCGGTCAGTAGTTCTGTATTCGTCCCTTTGCTTAGAATTACAGAAAAATTTACAGCTCTAGTAAAGAAAAAATAAATACAAGAGCAAAACAGAACAGCAGTTTCTTCTGCTGGCGCTTAGCTATGGCAGGCAGATTCACACGCTGCTTTTTAATAGTATTTTGGAGATTAAAAAGCAGACACTATTTTCTAAAATATTTCTCACCAATAGTTGTGGTAATTATCCTGAAATGCCAATAATTTCTAGACTTTATCTGGCCCGCTCTGCTGCATTGCTCCCCACAGGCCCTGCCGCGTTGCGCTGCAGAAGAGCGCGCACTGGGCAGCTAAACCAGTAACAAGGGAGAAGTGAAGCCACAACACAACATCCTGCGTGGGGCAGCGCAGGGAACGGACGCTGCGTCTCGCTGCAACACGAACGCTGGTTCTGTGCTAACAGCCACCCCCTTCGTTAACGAAATTCTTCTGTGTTGACCAGCCCCAACCTGTCTGTCCCGAGAAGCGGGGGTTTGGGACATCTGTCCCCTCCTCACACAAGCAAGTGCCACTCGATGTCCAGCCATGAAATCTCCTACTCAGGCCTGTCCTGTGCTCGTGCTTAGTGCCAGCTCCCAGCTCCAGCCCACTCGGCGGGGCGGCTGCCAACAGACAGGGAGAACATCCAGGCTGCCACCCTCCCCCTGCTGCAGTCTGGGCAAAGAAAGCGATCAGGTGTTCTACACACACGTCCTCCTTTCAAGAAAGTCAATACTGTGACTGGCAACTCCGTCTCGGGAAGGCACTTAGAACATTCCTATGGTTAAGTCTAGTCGTAGGTGAGATGCAATCCACGTGTCTAACACAGCACAGCGGGACTCATTTTCCAGTAACGTAACGCCAGCTCTGGCCTAGTGCTGGAAGGAAGCAGCAGCCCTGGGAAATACATCCCATCACTCCAGCACCTGCCTTGGCTTTGCAGAGGAGGCACAGACTCGTTTTTTGAAACCACCACATTATTCACATTATTTCTTGACACGGTGGGGTAATTCCCAGTCATTAGACGTGCCTCACTCGTGCACGGTGCCGTCTATGTTGACTGCGTGGCCTTCCTCTGCTCCACTGGCCCCTCCACAACATTCCCCCCCCCAAGACTTTTCAGCACTTGCAGGCAGACCAGCGCGAAACAAATCTATTATGGGATGAGCTGCAATAACCAAGCTCGTTCAAGCAGTTGAACCTTCCTGCCACGTCACAGCAGGCAGCTGCCTGCAGCCTATGAAGCAGCTTAAAGCAGAACAGACCTGTCCTACAACAACACACCTCGAGACCTAAGACAGACAGTGCAGCAGTTCCGGGGTTGTTCCAGGACAACACGGCACCTGTTGGGTGACCACAGTTCTTATATCAGCCGCTCGGTTGGTGGCATCTTGATTACATTCCACATTTCCACTCGAGCCCCATCTTTTTCCTGACGGCTCGGGCTGTACGTTCCCTGAGTCGCTCTCCTCCTCTTCATGGCAATCGCCGTGGCTGCGACGACCGCGAGGAGAAGGGCAGCCCCTGCAGCCCCGACTGCTCCCACAACGGAGGAGTTGCTAAGATGCGCCCACACTGGCTGCTGCGGTAGAACAGGGTGTTACTCGGAGCTTCCCCGGGGACAGTGCTGCATTTCACATCCTCATCCCCGCTCCCCAGCGCCTCTGTAAGCAGCACTGTGCTGACAGCAGTGCTGGACAGGAGCTGCCCCCCTTTTGCTGCCCCCTCCATGTCACACAAGAGCCGGGGAATCCACAGTCCATGACCCTTTTCCTGCTCCCCGCTTCCCCCCGTGCAAGCCCTAAGTTCAGCATTTGCCAACGGCTACAGCCGACACTGGCCCACAAACCCACAACGTTCTGACTGCACCTTCCCTGCCCGGTACCCATGGGAATGTCTAACAGAGATCCCATCATCAACCACTGATTTGTACAACGATTTCAGTAATTCCTGACAATTCCCTGTGACGCTGCGGCTGGCACAGGGCAGGAGTTCGCAGCTGCTGTTGCTGTTGAAGGCTGACTGCTTGTGAAAACCTCGTACACCTGAGCCGAGAAAGCTTTGAGTGCCTTTCAGTTGTTGACAAAACAGAGCAGTATATACAAACCAATCATAAATACCCTCTATACAACGCTCCTTACAAGTATATATAGATCTTCATCTGTAAATTAGTGCCGAATTTAACCCTGCCTTTTAAAGCAAATTTAACTATGCCCCTACTGCCTGAAAGGTGGAATGGAGCCAGAGCAACTTCAAAGCAGGTGCACCTCATCCTGCAGAGGTGAACCGATGGGGCAGTCCATGGGGCAGTCCATGGGGCAGGCAGGGAGTAAAGAGGCTCACTTTGAGCCAGTGGTGTGCAATCGACTCCATTAACTGAGACCAGCTGGACCAGCTATTTCGTACACAGTCTGCCTTGTGCTTCTACGTCCGTGTCTTCAGTCCCGCGCCTTAGGGAACTGAGAGAGGGTGGAGCTGCTGCTGCAAGTGCTGGAAAAAGACCAAGGTCAAAGCAGACCTTGTGGGTGCATCTCCTTGCCATGGCAGTGCCTCTCTTCAGGTGGCACCTTTAGGACACTGTCCATCTCCAGCCGAGCTCCTGCCACTTCTTGCTGACTCGGACTGTAGGTTCCCTCTGACTGGCGCCTCTTCCTTGCAGTGAGAATCATGAATATGAGCCCGATACTGAGCAGCAGCAAAGAGCCACAGGCTACAGGGACAGCTACTTCAATTAGTGGGGAGGGGAAGAGGGCACCTGGAGTCCCTTTCTGTAAGAGAAATTAATGGAGAAACAATGAAACTCCAGTGGTTACAATAATTTAAGTTGAAAAATCCAAAATGGTCAGATTAAGGGGAAAAAAAAAAAAAGCAAAAAAAAAAAAAAAATCAGAAGATCTGTAATGGAAAAGGACAAGCAAGGAACAAGTACAGGGCTTGAGGGCACCTGTACTGAGAATGCTCATGTTCATTCTTTAATGTCTCAGCAAAACACATTCAAACTGATTTTTTAAAATGGACTATTCTTAATACAAAGAACAGACAGTAAAACATTCTGAACTTTTCTTTCCAATTCAAAAGTGGTGGCACTCTTTAACTGGCTGCTAACGAAGCTGATCTCAACGGGGCAGAGTCACAACCAGAGATTTACCGCTGGAACGCTTAATGCCATGACAATAATTCATGCAGGGCACGTGGGCAGAATGACCACAAGGAAGAAAAGAGAGGATTTACTGAGCTGGGAGCTAACTGGCACGGAGCCAGCAAAACTAAATGCAGACAATTTACGGGACCAATCCTGGAGCTGTGACATCGCTCCAAAGCAAGCTGTCCTCGCGCACCACTTGCTAACGAAGATACTCGTTACAGTCGAACGGGAGTCGTGAGGAGTCGGAGCAACACTCCAGGCATTGGTAGATGAGGTGACACTGCCCAGGTAACATCCCACACTCCGTGCTCTCCTCTCTGCTACCGTTTTTCACAGCAGGACGGCCCCGTAAGATTTAAATGCCAGGACATTCAGCATCCACGGTGGAAATCTTTTATGGGCCTCCTTACCAATATCAGACTAAAATCCAGAGGGGTCACTAGGAAAGATCTAACCAATGTCGCAAAATAAAAAAAAAATTAAACTATAAAGTTAAGGCAGAGTAATGTGAATTTTCAGTAACCCCAGACAATTGCCCTGAGCAGAGAAATGATACTAAAAAGTTGTTCAATGATGCCTCTGATGGCAAGGCAGAGAATTTATTTAGCTATTAAACTATCCACCACAATGAGATGATATGCAGCCTGTGATTCAGCACTTCCTTGGAGATCTTGGGACAGGGAGTGTAGTAAGTTCAGGCTTAACAGTTCACATATCTCAAAGCCAGAGGAAAGACGACAAGACAAACCCAAGAACTGATGTACCTGCAGGAACTTCATGCAATCCTAGGGCAAAAGATTTTAAGTAATTTAAATAGTGAATGGCAAGTACTAGATCCATCGAATTCATAACTCCAAACTTTTAAATTACAAAGGCACATACTTCAGTGTTCACACTATATAAAAATGCTACGGAACAGGCTTGAAGACAACATGCAGCAGAAAGGGAGGATGTTAAAAACATAAGTACGTGGATGGGAGATGGAGATGATGTAAGGCCCCAGCACTGAGGAAAGAAGTGCAGGCAAATGAGTGTTCTTTAGATTCTGGTGGAATTATGGACAACAAAGAATTAAAAAAATAAGAAATATTGCTAAAAATAGTATCTGCCACCTTACAGATAAAACCAAAAGAACTGAAGCTTGATTATTTACAGCTTTCGGATGCCATACAGTCTGTGCTAAAGTCAGAAAGCGATACAGCACAGAAGGAATATTCCCAGAGTAGCTGGAAGTCCTTCTGACTGAAGCTCAAGTTGATTCTCTGAGCCTGCCAAAACCCGAGCGAGGTGCTAGGAGTTAGTTCTAGTTTTGCACAGCATGCAGATTAGTCACACGGCACCGACACTACGGGGTTTCGCGCAGTCCACCCTGCTGCAGCTACTGTTGGTGGGAGGGAGAAGGAAAAGAGAGCGCAGCCACCATCCCTACAGCTGTCCTTAACAGCCAACAGCCAAACCCTGGCCTCCTCCCTGCCCCCTACCACAGGCACTGGCCTTTCAAGAGGGAAAAGACAGATGGTTCTGCAAAACGTAATGGGAATGATGAAAATGAACACAAGGGACCTACAAGAAGTGTCCTGGGACAGAGGAGACATGCCTGAAGGAGTCCATGCATGCAAACTGGAAATGTCAGGAGTGACCTCATGGCCCATGCATTACAGAACCCTCAGTAACAGCAACAGCAGCAAACCCCACCCTGGCGCAGAGCCTTTTCCATGCAGTGTGGGTTAGTACATTCCCAGGTTACCAAACAAGCTCCCTGCCCATGCAATAGCTTTACAGAGAAAAAGCAAGTGGATGATTTAACAGCTTCCACACAGGAAGGATTCCAGGCCCCCAGGTCAGAAGCAGACTCAGCAGACAAAGGATGCTACTTTTTAGCTGGTACTTGAATCACTTTCAGCTTGACTTCATCTATTTCCCCTCTCCAAGCACATCCACTTCTACCCAGATCTTGGAGAGGGAAGGTGCTTGGTAACTATCTCACCCAAGACAAAATGCCAGCTGAAATGCCATTCTCCAGGAAACTGGAGGGGAGATGTATCTCCTTTCTACAGGTCCAACTGCAGCAGTTTGATTACTGTACAAGGAACCATGAAATCTAAGGAAAGCTGCAGAGACAGCCCTGAAATCCATAGGACAGCCATGCACATAACGAAAAGTATTTGCTGCAGTTGCCTGTATGCTGGAGACTAAGAGGCAACAGCACTGCAAAGGAAAAATAATTCCCCACTTCAGGTTTCTTTGGCACCAGCTGGCACTTCCCCAGTGTGCAGCAGTGTGCTTTAGCCAGGACACAGGCAGTGGACTGTGCAACATGTGGGCAGTCCCACTGGCACCCCGGTACCCAGTAGCACCCCAGTACCCAGTGACTCTGCTAAGCCCTCGTCTGCTGCTCCGCACAAAACACAGGTTGGAAGAACAGGCAGGAGCTCCCGGGGGCAAAGGGAATTGCTTACGTTAATGTCACACCGCTCTCCCATGTAGCTGGCGCTGCACAGGCACTCGTATTTGTTCTCAGAGTCTTGACACGTGCCTCCGTTCTGGCAAGGGTTTGGGTCGCACTCGTTTATGTTGATTTGACAACTGCAAGGGAAAAGTGTATCAGAATTAAATGGAATTCCTCATGTGTGTTCCTATGCCATACAATGCAAGACCATGCAGCCTACGAAAGCCTCGTTTATTTGAAAAGTTCCTGTGGCATCTTTTTCAGGTGCTTTCTCCAGGGTCCAACAACATGAAATTTCTACCCATTCATGCCAATCCTCCTGTGGCCATTTCTGTGTGACTGATGCCAGGGTGGGTCTCTACTGCAGTTAAGGAATTCTCAGGAGGCACAGGAACTACGTGGAGGCAGTTCACGCTGCAAAAATTGGTATTGTCAGCAGGGTCGGTCTCTTCCAAAAACATCAGCCAGTTTGCAGTTTTGGAGCAGATGTTTGAATGGCAAAAGGATGCACCAGAGGATGAGGCATTGGAACCTGCTCAGCTATCCCAGGGATGTTACAATCAGAGCACCAACTCCGCCGCAGGCACCAGAGAAATGGCACTTACTTCCTTCCGGTGAAACCGGGCTTGCAGGTGCAGTTGGCTCCCCAGGTCTCACTGATGCACTTGCCACCGTTCAGACAGGTGAAGTTCTTACCACACTGCTCCGGTGGGAACGGCCATCTGGGAAAAGGAGGAGACAGCCTCATCAGCAGTCAGGTTTTGGGGAAGGTAGAAGTGTACTCGGACTCAGTGGGGACTGGGCTGGTGACGGTCACAAGCGCAGCCACTGGTATTTCTAGGATGGAGTTTGACACAAGTAGAGACGGAAATAGGCTCAGAAATCACCCCTAATACCAGAGTATAGCTTGGAGCACGCCCAGAGAACATGCAGGAGCTGTATCAGTACTAGGACTTGTCTCACATAGCTGCCTATTCTTGCTATATGAAAACAGAGACAGGATACTGCTGGAATACCAAACTGGGAGGTCACAAAAAGGACAATGGAAGCACTGGATAACTGCCTACGGATGAAGTATGAACAATGGGGAATTCGACCTGGGTAGATCAGATAAATACTGACGTGGCTGAGCTTCAGTTATCTCAGTGTTCACTCTGAACAGCCACGTAGATGGAAGTCTTAGTTGATTCCTACATCCTTTACTGATACGAGACACACCTTTGTGACTAAAATATGCTGGATTTTTTCCAAACTAATACCAATGCTATAAATATAGACCTTATAAAAAAAAAAACCAGCCCTCCTCCTGACTCCATACCAATTTCCCACCAAATTTTATGCGAGCTCCATGAAGGGACCATGAAATGTGCACTGCTAAGCAGTACAGGCAGCAAGGTGACAGGTAAAGAAACCTTTTTCTCCCAGTACACATTTGGTAAGGAGCTGGATACTCAAATAGACATTTTTTTAACTAATACAGAGAAACAACGCCCTTAGTCTTAAGGCTGATGCCACAAGATACAACCAAGCCCTTGGATGAAGCAATGCTGGTCACCAGTCTAGGAGTGCAAATGTGTATTTTTATCTATAATATTACAGGAAAATATTTGTCAGTTTAAGGTTGTTTTTGCAGAGGCAGTAGCAATGGGCACCTTCATTAGCAACGGCAGTGTCCTGCTCACAGGCAGGCTGAGTATCTCTTGAAAGTTGGCCGTGTACCACTAGTAGCAAAAATGGCCCCAGTTAGGAACTCCTGCTACAAGTAATCTCCATAAACCCAGCACCAGAGCTTTATCAAAACCAGCATTCTCAGCAGGGGTTAGATTGTCCCTCTGCTGCACTCTGCCCAGGAACCCATCTGCACTGGGACCATTTCTATCACTCCAGCACAACCAGCACACCTGAAACTTTAGCACACGGCCTGCTCCATCCCGCGGGGGCTGGGAGGCTCCTGCCATTTCACAAGCAGCCCAGCTTTTTTGTTTGTCCTGCTTTGGTTTGTTTTAAATCAATACAGGAATGTGTCAGAGGGGAGCCAAATCCTGGAGAAGATGCATTTCTTGGGGAATGCAAGACAAAAGTGACAACAGGCTACAGTACTTGCACCCTGAAACAGCATGGGGATAACCCACACAAAAAGGAAGGATCCTTGTCCTCTATGAGGCTGAGCACCTTTCAGTGAGGATTTGGACCCCGACAGCACCTTCCAACTCGCAGCAGAATTTAGCTGCTTTACCCACCAGGTGCTTGCAATGAAAAGTTTTCCCAAAGTGTCCCAAAGTGAAAGTGCAATTCATCTGGGGCTCCTCTGACCCCTGCATCAAACCAACCGAGGCACTTACTCGCAGCGGGGCCCCGAATACTGAGGAGGGCACTTGCAGGAGTAGCCATAAACCCCATCAACGCAGGTAGCTCCATTTAGGCACTGGTGCCGCACGCAGTCATCCACATTGATGTCACACCTCTTCCCGATGAACCCCCGGAAGCATTCACACTGGAAGTCTGCTACTGCATCGACGCAGTCCCCGTGAACACACGGGCCCGACTGGCAGTCATCGACGTTGGACTGGCACAGCGGCCCCTCCCAGCCAGCACGGCAGGCACAGCTGAAGGAGTTGAACAAATCCTTGCAGGTGCCGGCGTTGAGGCAAGGGCTAGAGGCGCAGACGTCGGCCCCAGTGCAGCCCAGTTGGATGTCCCCTCTGCTGGACTTCTGGAACTGCTCTGGCTGGGGGTATGAGAGGTGGGCAGTGAACGGCAGGTAGATCCCCCCTATCCTCACTTGTCCGAGGCAGCCGGTGAAATTTTCGGCGAGCACAATTAGCGCACCGTTCTTTAGGAAGTCCAAGTTCCCAGCGTTTCCCTGCAGAGTCATGTTATCAGACCCGTCCAAGCGAAGCAGCCATCTGGAAGAAAGCGCAGATGGCTCTTCCATAGACACGGAGACGGTGTGCCAGGCACCGTCCGCGACGGACTTCTGACTCAGGAAGCTGACACCTTCGATGCTATTCCCACTCCTGATGTCAACCAGCAGGGAGGAGTTCTTAATGGCTACCTGGAGGGAATCCACTTCTTCCACAGCCTGAAGCAAAACAGCATCTTCGTCCCTGGTTCTGAAATCCACGTGGAGGCTGCTCAGAGTTCTCGTCACTGATGTGTTGGTGGTGAATTCAACGGCAGCAGAACGATTGAACGTTGCGTTAGCCAGACCTATAAATAAAGGGGTAGAGCACAAGGGATTTGTAAGACAGGTGGTGTCACGTTTGAGACAGACCGATGGCAAACCCTGAGCAGTTCTCACCCTTAAGAATCGTGTAAGCTTAGTGTGAGTAGGATTACAGGCCTGGCTGCTGGCACCCTTAAAGCTCTTCCTGTTTACAATTTTACCTCTAAAAGTAATATCCAGCTCTTGTGCAGCAATTTTTACTCATCAGTCTCACAGCACTGCACGAAAATACAACTATTGCCTTTTTACTGCTAGAAAAACTGGAATGTAAGTCAGGAAAGTAACACATCCAAAGGTGCTGAGGTGGCCCGTGGCAGAGCTGGGAACACCCCAACACCCTGAGTTCCAAGACACTTTCTAGTCTCTTGACAACACTCCTTCCACATCAGGGCATCATTAGGTAACTAGTTTTCTTCATTCTCCATGGTTCTGTCTTAGGAGAAAGCCAAGACACGTTTGCAATACTTCATTGTGTCCTACTTGGTGAAATAACCCGAGACTCCAGAAATGGCTGAACATGACAGAAAGCAGGATGGTGTCCTTGTGCTGCAATGATAGTAAGGCAGGCAACCACTCCCCAACAGTCAACAGGTTCCTCCCTGATCAAGTCAAAGTAATGGAAGAAACCATATTTGAGTACCCTCTTTGCTCTGTCAGAACCTGGTGGTAAAGCCATGAAGCGCATATGCTGCCTGCAAGAGCGTGTGCCTGCGAGTCATTCGCAGTTTCCTTTTTGCAGCATGTGTTGATGTTTACTGCAAAAGTACAAACTAGGAATATTGCTTACAGACAGTGAACATGAAGGGTTTTACCAACACATAAGCAGGAGAACAGTACTTACACACATATCCTGCTACAACATCTACACAGGTGGTAGCTTCAGGACACGGGTCACCTTCACACCAGACTCTCTCTTCACAAAATTTCCCAGTGAAATTTGCTGGACAGCTGCAATGGAAATCATTCCAAGTGACAATGCATCTGCCACCATTCTGACATGGTTCAGACTGAAAAACAAAACAGTGGCATTCAGAAGCGGCGTAATTCATCTTTGGATCTAAAAGAACTTGGTAGAGGAAAAGTGACAAAGATTAATATGAGCAGTGCTTGAATCAGGAAAGGGGTAATTGAAACAGTGACCAACAGCAGTGAAGGAAGCACAAGGGTCTCTGCACAGGAAATTCCTGAGACCCTGCCTCTCCCTGTGTGCTGATCAACAAAAACTCCCCAGGCAGAGCTCCAGCAAGTTGAAAAAGAAAAAAGCACAAAAGCAAAGGTGAGAAACAGATGAAACAAGCTGCAATGCTCCTGAAAACCTCACCAAGTTCTGGCACTAGAAGGACACACCTAACACCAGAGGCGTGACAATACTTTATAGCACCATCAGCAAGAAGGGCAAAATTAGGGAGCACGGCCTCCCTGTCTTCACGTGTGGCATAAAGGAGAGGCAGCTTCTAATCTAAGGGCACTGCGGAGACAGTTCCTTGAACTGTTGCTGCTGAAGTGACAAATTCCTGGGGGAAGAGGTGGTTGTGGGACTGAAACAGGATGAATGGAGGAGCTGGAAATGTTACTGGTTAGAGGATGGAGCCCAGAAAGCATTTGTGGGCTTGGCAAAACGGAGGTGGGCAGCACAAGAGCCAGACTGCCCAAGTTCTAAAAACTACAAAAACTACAGGGGAGCTAGAGAAAACTTGGTGCTCAAATTGTATGGTGAGTATAGTGAGTGAAGTAGAAGCATGTGGGACCACGTGTCCTTCAATATTCCAAAACCTTATCATCTTCCCAATATCAGCAACAGCCAAGCAGTTCTGTAATCACAAAACCATAATAAACAACTGCAGAGATGTAAAGACAAACAAGAGACACCGTACCTTGCAGGTGTTATCAGAGATGCAGCCATTCACAAGATTACCATTTTGAGTGCTGTTGAGCTCCTGTGGCAGACTGTAGTTCTCAACCTGAAAAAACTGTATTTGGTGGCTGTTCAGTTGGACATCTTGCAAACAGCCTTTAAAATAGCCTCCCCACATGTCGGCGCTGTCTGGGTTCGGATGTCCACCAATATGCACTTCATAACCAGCTAAAAGAGGTCTTGCTACGAGCTGTCCTAGCTCCAGGTATGTGTCCGACTGGTGAGCACCAACAACTCCTCCTTGGAAAGACAAAGCTACCAAATGTCTTCTTCCATCAACCAAATTTTCTGGAAATGTCACAGTACCTGTAGATACCATCTCTATTTTCAACTTGCCGTTCTTCAGGTATATAGTGAGGCAGGGCTCAGTTTCGTTGCTGATTTGCAACAGCAAACCGTTAGGTTTCAGACTACGGATGAAAAAGGAGATGTTGAAGTTTGCTCCCAGGCTATCAGAAAGGTTGAAAGATGCAAAGCTGGTGGAATTCTCTAGGCCAAATGTTGCTGCTGGGCGCTCTGGAAGAGAGAAGAAACGTGCATCAGCACAATGACAAGGGGAATGCAGCTGGCACAGGGATATTCTCAGCTGCGACTCCTTATGAATGGGGCAAGACCTTTCTTCCCAACGTGCTCAGCATGCAGCAGGGTAATTATGCTCTCTCCCCGCACAGGTCTGTGAAATTAAGAAGTGAATGTGTCCTCGCTTTCTCTGGAGGGCATGAATGCAAGCACCCAAGAAGCAGAGGAGTCTAGCAGGGTCCTTGTCATCTGGCAGATTTACTCAAGGACTTTTAAGCTACAAAGTTGCTTTTAAAATTGGTGAATTTGGTAACAGCAGTACAACTTTGTACTTGCCATGTTTAGGGCTCAGGAGTGAAACAAAAAGCTGGAACAATATTAATGTAAGCCTTGTGGGAACGAAAAATGATTTTAACTCAGAATTGTCAAAGAGCTTCCTTTAACACTTTGTGGTTTATCTATAAAGCAATACATTCCTATTCATGTTCAACACAGAAACTCCAGATCAACTTTTCCAAGTAAAACAACTTCCCTGCCCTCCCGCATTCACATAGATCTGACACAAAGATAAGTCAGAGCCTCTGGCTCAACAAGGAATAACATCTGCACCACAAAACTGACACTCATTCCTGCAGGACCAAGTGACAAAAAAAGAGATTAACGAGAATTTTATTTACAGAGGGTTTTGCTTTAGTTTTCTCACTGGCCAAGAAGAAAACACTGCTTCCAGAGCTAGCATCAGTGCTCACCTAGTATCTCTGAAGCACTGACAGAGGAGCTGGCAGACGTAAATCCCGTGGCACTTACCATATGAGCAAGCTGGGCCTCCGTAAGGCCTAGGACAGTCACACCTGAAGGTTGCCCACAGGTCCACACACAGCCCTCCGTGAAAGCAGGGCTGGGATAGGCACCACTCTGTCCGGTCACAGCCCCGCGTCACCGGGGAGGACTCACCCACAGGCAGATCCACCGGGAGCACGGTTTCAGCATCTACCTGAAAGTCTTCCAGGCAGCCGATGAAGCCTTGCTGGCTCTGTGTGTTGCTGGCCATTGGATCCTCTGCACCTCCAATATACGTGTTCTGGAAGGCATGTGGGATCAGAGCAGTGCCACGTGGGACAGGAGAGCTCTGCAGGCAGACACCTGCATCACAAGAGTCATGCCAGAGCTTTAGCTGCACAGCGCTATGCAGAACAACTTCAACTTTATGCCACTGGCCATCATCAACTCTCAGCCCCTCCAGGAGCAGCAGGTACCCAACATCCTCCCTCTTCACTCTTGCATGCAGAATGCCATCAAAGAGCTCCAGGAACAAGTACTCAGCTTCGTGGCCACGGTAAAAAAGGATGGCACTGGGCAAGGTGGTTCGGAACCGGAGGGACACGCTGACAAGCTGATCTCCTGCTACGTCCCTCCTGCTCTGATTGTTCACGGGCAGCTCAATGAGGAGATACCCTCTGGAAGCAAAGGAAAACGTTGTTGGTGTTGAGCATGTGGCATCATAGAAACCAGGCTGGCACTGGCACAGGTGGCCGTGGCTCTCAGCTTGGTAGGTTGGGATGCACAAGGCCTCATTTTGGCAGTCGTGCGTCTGGCACCCAGTGAGCTTGACAGAGCAGTTCTTCCCTCCCCAGACAATGCCATCCTGGCTAGGGGCACAGTGGCAGGTATAGTCAGCAATGCCATCCTCACAGACAGCTCCATTCTTGCAGGGACCCTCCTCACACTCATTGATGTTAACAGCACATTCCACACCTGCGAAAAAGAAATTTAGAAATGGGATCTCACTGCAGGGGACTGTGACTCCCTTCCCCAGAGCAAGCCTCCAGGCACGGACTGCCCTCCCCAGCACTGCCCCTCTCCAAGCCATTCTCTTCAGGAAACCACCAAAAGGCCAAGAGCTGCCAGCAAGAAGCCCCATGCACGCTAGAGAGTGGCCTACCACTGACACACGAGCAAGAAAACCATACTTCTGTGCTGTCCTCCCAGATGCTGAAAGAAGGTGCCATTCATAGAGCTCTGACCAGCCAGCCTACATCATCCAACAGACTCCCAGACAATCTCAAACACCACAAGTAATCAACGTGCAGAGGACATTAAAGGAACAAAACAGCACAGACAAGGATTTCATGCTTCTTTCATAATAGATTTGGAATGCTGAAACTCAAATTAAGTCTGCAGCTCTGGCTGGAGCATGTTTCAGGCACCAGCGTTGCAGACAGAATTAAAATGGGAAGTTATTGGAAAGCCTCGGTTAAGAAAATTCAAATTCCCAGATGACCCTCCCATTGTAAAACACTCACGAGACTCGACTCATTACCAAACCACAAATAAAACATGCTCCACAGGCACTTCACCATGCTTGCACTAAGCTGATTTCCACTCTGCCCAGTCCTGCAGAAGCGAACTGGGTAACAAGTGCGATTGCAGTTCCGCTGTCTCCTTGAGGCACAAGTATCCCAACAGGCTCAAGTAAATTACAAACCATTACACTCCAATCTGGTTAATGAAAACCTGCTGGCATTTTCCTGAGGCCTCCAGACTGACAGAAGAGCCCTTCTGAACCAGTTCACTTTATCTAGCCCATAACACTGGTTTTCACTAATCTTCAGAGACAGTCACACAGATAAACCAAGCATGGATTATCCCAATCTAATAGCATTACACGCCAAATCTAGCCAGCGAGCACAACGAGGACAGCAGAAAGAAAAAGAAGGAATTCACACACAAAGGATGGGAATCAAAACACAAAAGACATTTGTAAAGAAAAGCCACTAGACAGAATGTGCATG